CTCTCTCTCTCTCTCTCTCTCTCTCTCTCTCTCTCTCTCTCTCTCACACACACACACACACACACACACACACACACACACACACACACACACACGGGGGGGGGGGGCAATCTTAAGAGTCTAGTGGCTCTTGTTATACCCCAGACTCCCTCCCCCTACTTTTTGGTTAGTATCTCTAGAGGTGCCTAGATAGGATTGCGAACTTGTCCGGTGAAGCCATGGGTCACATGGGTTGTACATAGGGAATAAAACAGATCTTTTACTTTAAGTGGACGTCCCTGTGACAGTCCCAGATGATCACAGGTTCATAGCTGGGAAGGGGGGTGATTAAGCCATGCACTCTTATGCCTGAAGCATGACTCATTGATGTCCAATAATAATCCTTCCAGAAGATCATTTGTATTCTTTTTAAATTATGCTCCCCCACCCACTCCCTGTGTGTGTGCGCCTGTGTATGCGCATGTGTGCATGTGTGTGTGATGTGCATGTGAATACAGGTAGAGGCTAGTGGTGACTCATCCCTTGGAGCTGGAGCTAGAGACAGCTGTGAGTTACCTTGTGCAGGTGCTGGGAACCCAGTTCAAGTCCTCTGGAAGATCAGAAAGCACGCTTAATTACCGAGCCATCTCTCCAGCCTGTAGTATTCTTACTTGACATTTCTATTTAAAGGAACATTGGCTCTAAGTAGGCAGTCTTCAAAGCAAATGTTAATTGGGCTGGAATTCTTGATTCTTATCTGGTGAGAAACTTCTCCCAGAGTTTGCCGTGAAAATTGAGTTTCCCTTCCTGTTTGCTCTTAGTTTTCCCCTGTCTTATCTGTCAAATAACAAGAACTTTGTAAACATTTGCTCAGTGAATGAAATTAAAGCCAAAGCCAAGATAAGAAGGTTGGACTTTATTTGGTAGACACCGGGGAAACTTTTCAAAAAGTAGACTCATATTTGGAAGACACTACGGAAATTTTTTAAAGTTGAGAGCATAGAGCTGGGTGTGGTGCATTTACAAAGAAAGGAGAGGAAGATGGAGCTGGATTTCTAGGCATCTTACTGAGATTCTGTCTTAAAACCAACTAACCCCAAGTGAGTCCCAGGAAAGGCGCAAAGCTACACAGAGAAACCCTGTCTCGAAAAACCAAAAAAAAAAAAAAAAAAAAAAAAAA